CCTCCGGCTTTGTTCGGCTCCTCGCGGCGCCACTCGGCTCTCTCCGTGACCTGGTCCCGAGCCCTTTCCGAGGCCAAATTCTGCGCGTCTTCGCTTGCCCCGCCCCTGCTCGCTCGCGCTCTGGGCGGGGCCGCTGGAAAAAAAAGGAAGCGGCGTCGCCAATCAGAAGCGTCCTGAGCGGAGTCACGCCGGCCAATTGTCGTGAGCGGAGGGTCACGCTGACCAATCACGTGGGTGGGTGGTGCGTCCTAGGAGTGCGTGGGCGGGTGTGTTTAAGGGAAGACGGGCTTCGCCGGGAACCCGAGTGGACCAGACGCGCTGCGTCTCCCTGGGGCTTCGGCGAGGAAGAGAGCCCTCGTGTGAGCATGGCCGGTCCCGAGCGTGGTCACCCCAGGGGAGGCTGAGAGGGCGTGGCCCGTGGAGCTGCCGAATAAACACTGGCTGTGAGGAAACACTGTGACCCTCGGGACAATTCTGATGACGCCACGAACCTTGGATTCCTGACCGCCGCCGAGACCCCTTGTGGGTGAAGCGCACCTCGGAGAGAAGCTCTGGTCCTGCTTGAAACCAGTGCCCCGTGCCCCACCCACCGCCCCTCTGTCTCCAGACCTAGAACCAGTTACCAGATCGCATCCAGGAGGGAAAGGCTCGGCCGCCGCGGAGCAGACGCTGGCGCTGCGCCACGTCCCCTTGGCCTCCTGGGCCTCCGCTGCTGCCCGGGCAACCACAAGGCCTTGGCCCCGGGGATCTGTGACAGGCCTGTTGGACGTGGCGTGTGTGTGTGTGTGTGTGTGTGTGTGTGTGTGTGTGGTTTTTGTGGGGGGTGGGGAGGTTAAATAGATGGGCAACTGGCGAGTGGTTTGATTTGAATAATCAGAGAGAAATCAAGAATCGGTGACCAGAAGATGAATGTCGTTGCTGCAGCGGGAAATCACAACCCCTCGCCCTGTTTAAGTCTGAGCCAGACCGGAAACCTGCAGCTCACCGGCTGAAAGGGAGGCCTGGTCCCTTCCAGGAAGGATCTTACCATGTTACCATAAGTATATACAAAAACGTTCCTCAATCCTTCCCCAAAGGGACCAAGAGCCTCTTAAAGCAACTGATTTACTTTGGAAAAGGGACCCTCCAGACCTTTCAGGGCTGTTAGATTCAGGATCTGCGCTGATGTTGTGCAGGACCCCTGAAGCATGGTGAGCCACTGGATAGAAGAGGGGTTCTGGGAGTCAGGTGATGAACCTAAGCCCTAGGGTTATTTTTCTGGCCCCAGTGCACACTTGGGGTGGTTGTACCTCGCTGTGGGCAGAGCCTGTACATGGATTCCTGGCCTGTAGGATGAGAATTATGGTAACAAGAGCAAGGGGAACACCTGGAACTCCCCTGCGCACTCACCCGATCCAGGATAGTAAATCAGAAACAAAGCTGCCATGTGGGATTGCAGAGGTTGTGTCACTCTCAAAGACAAAGTGGTAGCCCCTAGTTCATCCCGTTCAGTTCACCTGGATGGCCCGTGCAAAAGTCAGATGAATTCAAGTAAATGATGGTGGCCTACCACACAGCAGCTGTGTCAGATGAAGTGTCTTTAATGGGACCGATGAACATACCTCTGGCTTTGATCAGGCACTTATTGGTGTGGTGAATAGTCTTTTCAGTTTCTAGTAGTGAAGAGTAAATTT